AAAAAAAAGTAAACAGTAAGAAAATCCCACGAGAAGCCCTGAGCAGGAAACAGCTCGGTGAGTCCGATCGATTGAACCAAAACACATAGTAGAGCTACGTATGTGGTGGCAGCAAGTGCCTCATATAAACACATATGCACATAAAAATATTCTTCCACTTCTGAAAGCGTCAAATGCACTAGCAAGTCAGTGCAGCACTGGAAATCCAATTAACCGCGACGAAGCTCTAAGAAATCACCTCGGCTCTGCGTACAGCCTGCCACGCTTCGTCTTCTTTTCGCGCGAGTTCACTGATACTTTATTATCCGGCGTGACATTTTTTTCCTGGTCCTCCTCTTACTCTTGCAAGTACTCGAGGAAGGAAAGGCTAGTACTGGAAAATCCGCAGATCAAATATTATGAAGGAGAAAAAAGGAGGGCTTACTTATTCTTATCTTTGGGTTTGGGGATATCCTTTTTCCGACCCATCTTTTTGTGGCATTCGGCTCTTGGGAAATCCACGAGGATTAGGTGATGAGAGTCTTCTGGATCTTTTGGCTTGTAATGATGATAATACAATTTTTTCCAATGCATATTAAGGATTTTGGATGGTGATACTTTGCTCGGATGCGAGATGTTGCAAAATACATGGCAAGTTATCAGTGACAATTAATACCTGAGTGATTTAATGGATGAAAAATTATCTTAGCTTGAAAAATCGTAGGTTGTATGGAACTCTTTAGAAGTTACAAAAATAACTATACGATTTCGACCGTGATATAGATAAAATAGATCACTAAAGTATTACAAGTATATTTATGTGGCTTCTTTTATTAAATGTTAAAATTAATTGTACAAACTATTTTTACGGTAACATCTGAAAGATGACCGTAGCCTATTTGACACTATTTATGATATTGTGTAACAAAAATCGATTGAAATTTTTTATTTTGATAATTTTTTTTATACCATATTTAACATTTATTAATTTTAATTGATTCATCCTCATCCTTCAATGTTAAGACTCTCGACAGACTGCAAAATTTTGTACTATTTATTACATGCAAGATATTTTGTTGGAGAAAGTTTTTAATTCGCAAAGAATTATCCCTTGAAGAGTATTAAAATTACAAGTACATAACTAATAGCATAAAATTGTCGATGGGATCTTATTAAGCTGATTTTCATTTAATTTTATTGATTTTAAGAATTTGTCAGATTCTCAACGACTGAGGTTTCACAAATTCATACTTTTTACAGACTTAATAATTTTTTTCTACACATTTATTGTTTATCACACATTGTTGGACTATTTTAAAGCTTTTCTTATCACATATTATATTGGAATAAAAATATTTAGCATGTTAATATTATTTATGTATCACAACAAGTGGCTAAATTTATGCAAAAAATTAAATTTCTTCGTCCAAGGCACAATGACTATATAATTTTTACCATAATAAAAAGTATCACCATATTGGGATGAGTTTTTGAATTAAAAAAAAAATTTATTAATATT